TAAACGCTAAGAGACATGCCCCTCTGCAACATTTGGAGGCCAATTCTGCGCCCGGGTCGTGCGGGTGCCTTCACTGCCTTCATTACCGCAGCATCTGCATGCACCCCACGCACCTCTTTCCCACGACGGCCCATCCCTCTCCAAATCAGCGCCTTCTCAAGCAAGTCTGACCCTGGATCCGGTTGGTCAATTGACTCAACCCCCGAGCTATGGCGCCCGAAAAGCTTTGATTCCGCCCATGCCGTCATCCAACACGAACTCCAAAAGTACAACCTTCGCGATTGGGGCTTCGTGATTGTCCGCTGCACCTACCGCTCGCAGAAGAAGTGGGACAAGTTTATCGCCCTCGCTCAGGGCCACGCCCGCGACTACTTTGAGGAGTGTCAGATGCCACCCGTCCACGAGCGCCTGCGCTGGACCATCACCGAGGACGCCGCGGCGCTCGAGGGCGCCAACATCCTCGAGACGAGCCGCCGGTTTGAAGACTGGGCTCTTAGACCCGGAGGCCTAGGCGTGCAAGAGAGGCAGGGCACCAAGTTCCCGCCTGGGTGGCGTTCAAGTTTACCTTTACACTATAACTTCTTCCTGCATGTCGACGAGGAAAGTTTGGAGAGCGTGATGGAGGGCCCAAAGAAGGGACCTGAGGGGCAAGAACGTGGGTATTTCTGCAAGCTTGTAAACTCGGGGACCGTCTTGTTGGCGGAAAAGGCTCAAAGAAACGATTGGGACAACGTCCCCGCAGAGGACAAGGACTCGGAGGTGGGCCTTGTGGCGGAGGAGGACCTGCACGAGCTGAGAAAACGAGTCAGGATCGATAGGCTTATTAGCGTGGACGCGATGCTCGAAGAAGATACGGAGTGTTGGTATGACCTCCCAAGGGATGATGAGGACATTATCGAGGCCTGGACATGGTGAGCTATGCGGTTTATATATAGGGTAGCAGCACGAAAACGGCACGAGAATAACTCAGTGGCCCTTTGATAAAGACCTATAAGTGGCTGGATCCTGCCGGTTGTGGTAAACTGTGTGTGTAACTGCAGTGAGCAATACTAACTGTTTGTAGCTTGGAGCGAGGCTGTGTGCATCTGTGGTTTGGGAACCCTTTCACCATCGCTTCTGTCTCCTAACATCACACGGAGACTCCCCGCTGTCCGAAGCATCAGTCACACGCGCGACGAGACACTCCCGTTATCTTCCTGAACTGTCTCAGCATCGTCGCCCGCCTAGAACATGTCTGTAGGTCGAGGCCCCGCTCCCAATATCCCAGAGCTCGGTACGGTCTCGACGATTTTGCACCTCAGCTTGTCCTCTAAGTTAAACTTAGGTATTCTCGTCCACAGAAGGGTCCCAGCGGATGTCGCCATATAGCTGAACTGATTGAAATCCAGCTTCCCCTCCCCTTTCCTCCAGGCTATCTGCAAATGACTTCGAGATTTGTGCAATACCGGGTTCGCCCGTTTGGCTACCGGTATCTGCCCCAGAGATTCCGGTGGATGGTGATACGCATGCCAAAGTTTTCACCTTGGCACTTTGGCAGGGAACTTGGTGCCCAACTGGAGATTGACGGTTTGAACAAAAGTGCTTTGGAAGGCAACGTCATGGTCATTAGGTTGTTATGAATGTTTTGAGCAGCTACCTAGTTTGGCATCTGCTGAGAAGGTACAGTACAACCTCAGGGCTATGCTGTTAAGAGCGGTAGTCGAGAGGACGATTTTTGGGTGTGAAATACTTCCGTATTGGCGGCAATAACAGATATCTTGGCCGCAAGATCAAGGACTAAAGGTACCGCGGCCGTGAGTGAGCAAGTACCGCATTCACATCGGTACTGGTATGTACCCTTACCAACTAGGTGCAGAGAGTAAGTGTTTGAAATATGTAGATCTAGGACATGTGGTAGCCCACTGCAAACTACCAGCATCCTCACCTTCAAAACCACCATCACATTGTACCCTAATCTCTAATTCGTGCTCTCTCAGGTGCTTGCTGCAGCCTCCAAGGCGTCGAGACGTAGTTGAAATTCTTCTTGCGGGAAATGACGGTCCGGATGCAGCATCCACTCGGTGAGTTTATCAAAGTCGCGGCAGACATGAGTGGAATGGGCATCCGGGAATTGACCGCCAAGTTCATGATGCACCCAAGAAATCGTGCTGATGTCAGAATGGCACATGATGGTCTGCCGGAGGTTGTCGATGCAGTGCTCTATGTTCCATCACTGTTAGTCTGATGATGTTGCCAGTGGCGTCCTCAATTTCAGGAGCACTCAGTGCCCCTGAGTTACCTTGACTCACCCAAGTGAACCCAGTACTTCTTCTTCGCGGCGGGACTCATTCCCCTATCAGCTCCGTACCGATCAGGGTACAGATGCTTCCGCAGCAGATCCTAGTTACGACGATGCGTTAATTCCTACAACGGCCCGTTTGCGCGAACTTGAGAAGGGCAACCCTTACCAAGCAATGCAACTGGTGATAGACCTCCAGGGCAATGATGTATCCGTCCTCCTCCCCCGGAATGGGCAGGGTTTGGTTTGGCAGCCTGTCAGCATCTAACTTGGGGATCTTGATGACGCCGATATCTGAGCCGTTCATGTCCAAGTTAGCTTCCACCTGGACCGAAATTATGTTCTTGATCGACGAGAGTAGCTACTGACCGATATAAATTTCCCTCCACGCCTTGTCGACGTCGTCGTTTGGCGGGCCTTGCCATTTAGTGCGGTCCTGGCGGAAGTTGTTGTGGAACACCACCTCCTTATATTCAATTGCCTCCAGGGCCGGCGAGAACACCTCTGGTACCGTGTTATACTGGAACTTCACATTGTCCGGAGCATAACCTGTAATGTCCATGTCAACGTCATATTTATTCTCTGCACACGAGACCATGGTGGTATGCGGCGTCAGGAAATATAAGATAGGGGCAGCTCACTGTGGATCTGGTACAGGCGAGGGCAACTCTGAGCAAACATCTCTCTCACCAGCCAACCAAGCGATACTAATCCCAACAAGCCTGCCAGTACCGCTGTCCACATTCTCATTCGCAGCCGGGCTCTCCTAAGGTCATTGCGGAGGCTTTCAATGACAACATTGTCTTTTTCTGCGGCAGGCAGGAGCTTCTCACTCGAGTCGGACGATGCTCTAAGGGTTTCGTATACAACCTTGGTGTCTGTTGGCACAAATTTCGACTTGATTTGGGTGAGTATTGTTGTAAGCCTCTCCATCTTGCTATCCGTCCGAGATCAAAAGCGGGCTTGGTGACAACGAGACTGCCAGAGACTCAGAGCTGCGATTGTTGTTTTCAGCCAGGCCGAAGTCCAGCCCGTTGAAAGAACAGTTAGGATGGCCTGCAGAAAAACAAAGACATGAGGCGGGGCAATGGGGGGTGAATGCCGTCGTGAGGGGGCAGCTGGAGCTTCCGTATCTGCTTCACTAGGAGGGGTCGCCGTGGAAAGGGGCAACGGAGCGGCGGGATGCAAACGAGGGGCGGATATTTCGCCGTGGAGTTGCAAGACTGGAGTGTTGGTTACAAGGTAGACAGGGTGTATACCAAGGAGAGGAATCATCAGGTAGGTAGGCTTAGGAGCCGAAGAAATCACCAATTGATCAAACTTCAAGATATGACGCATGTACCTACTGTACCTACTTCAAGAGTGTCCTTGATACGATACTAGAAGATGGAGCGAATTAGCGAAGTAACGAAGCGCAACGAATACTACCAGACATGGACCATTAAAGCAGTCGGATACGTCGGTATGATGCAGCTAGATTATTGTCTGCCAATGACAGCTCGAGTAACCCAAGTCTACGATGCAGGATTCGCCTGGTAAGTGATGTTACGATCCTTCCTCCACCACAACCTAATGCTTGTTTCTCAGAAGAAGCCTTCACTTCAACTGGGGATAGCCCACCGTTTTCATTCCGTTTCGGAGTATCTATAGCGTGATTTCATTCACAACTAGTATCGACTGCTGCATGTTCCAGCACTTCCGTGATGCACCAAACAGAAAGATCAACTGGATACTCCGAGGGAGCGCCGGCAGTAAGCATGGAGTTTCTGCAATGTAGGCGCATATATTCCAGATTGTACGTGCAGATCTAGCTCAGAGATAGGTTACACTAACACTTGACTGTAGAATGTTGATCAATATTGGCAATCTCTAGGTAAGGTAGGTAGGTACGTTGACTCTTTATTAACACTCCTACTTAATCGGCCCCTTTAAACAGAGCTCAGAATCTATTTACTATACTGTATTCTGCTGTAACCATACCTTAGTATGAATACCTAACTTCGAAGTGAATGTAGGTATTCAAGACTCAGGTATTGCGCATATTTCCGGATACGCGGAGTACCTATATTAGAAGCCGAATATCATGGGCTATCATAAAGGCATAGCAGACTAGCAGTACACTACCTCAAGGTGGAGGTTGGGCACAAGCTTTTTCGTCCATCTGCATAACCAGGTGATCGCCGTGTAGTACAAACCAAACAATGGTCGATTTAGGTTGATCATCATGGATTCTGTGATGTCTAGCCCCGCCTGCGCCGCCCCCAGGTTTTGTTACCTGACCTGTTGGGCTTCGGAACATACAACCCAAATGACGAACTTCAGTTCATCGGCATGTAGATCAAGATCTGTGCCACGCGAACCATGAATTTGGAACGATAGACAACGGTCAAGTCTAGCCAATGCCACCGCCTTCTCGGCGAAGATACCGGATAGGTAGGGACGTTCACTGATATCCTGTTCCAGGTACAGTACCGGTATTCTCTGTAAGTAACTCCGAGTCATTGGACCCACGGCCACATAGTAGCTTGGTTCACTGGGTGGGGGCCGAAAGCCTACGTCAAGGCCACGATGACCGTCGTGACATTCCCCAGTTGCCCCTTGGAAGTTCGGCACGGTAGGACTCTACGACGGATTTTCAAGTTGGCGACCAGCCATCATGGAAGGGGTACCTACATACATGGCAGATGCGGACTTGCTGCTTCCAGTCCTTGATTCCACCCATTTGATTTTCTCTCCTGATCCTCCTCAGCGCCGAGCCTGGTGAAGCTCAGGAGCACCTGCATTCGCCTGGCGCGCCTGGCTCATCTGCTCTCTCAGCTTGCTCCGATCCAGTCACCTCTGCTGGTACGCTGGTACTGCTGCCTTGAGGGTCAATATGGTGACTTTCGCCTACCACAAGCTTCCTATTAACCCCAATCACGATGACGACTCGCCGACAAGTACACCATCGCGGGCTGCTGCCTTACCAAAAGTCATATCGCGCCGCAGGCCTATACTGCTAGGCCTTACCGGGCTTGCCCTCCTCACAGTCACCTTCGTTTCCATCATCATTTGGGCACAGCATTGGCAGCAGCATGCCAGCACGACGACCAGGGCTAGCCCAGAGGAGTGCGGCCTGTCTGCATCAGAAGCCCGACAGCGCGGCTGCGTCTTCGACGCGGTGATCATGGGTTGGGTGCCATGGCGATGCTACGATGCCGGCCTCGCAAGGGACTTTCTGGCCGAGAAGGACTGGCCTTTCTATCGCGGCCCGGGCTGGAAGGCGATGGACAACACGAGCGATGCCAGTGATAGTGGCCTGCGCATGCCCTTGGAAGAAGTCTTGCGCGGAGAATGGAGCACGCTCTACGTCGAGGAAGAATTTTATCTATTTCAGTGCACTTACACATGGAGAAAGACGTGGCAAGCTGCCATGAGCGGCGGCATGTTGGATGGCTATGTCGGGGATTCGCATCATACCAGTCACTGCGAGATGTTGATCACGAAGGGGCCACACTTGGACAAAAATGTGTACATGAAATATGCTAGCTGTCCGTGGGTTCGCTCCGCTGACCGCGGCAGATTCGGCTGGTATAGGGTGATCGACGGAAACAAGGTGTATAGAGCCGACGCATAGAGAGACGGAAGATGTTGATTGTAAGATGGCAGTTGAGTTAGTAATCACCCTTTGCGGTCGATTGTATTGGAAAGACTTTAAGAGCTATTGGAGATCAGCGTGAAAAGGGGCGACTTTCGTAGCTACTAGTGGCACTGAGTACCGGTAGTCGCATAGAAAAGGAATTGTCCCGTATGGTAGGAGCGCGAGACATATCGAACTGGCAAAGGTAAGGCGCCAACCGAAATACGCACCGATCTTGTGTTGAGCGTTCACCCGTTAGTTTGTCATTCTGACCTCGGGAGGACGTTATCCTGAGGAGGGTATCCGATACGTCCGTAGCTGAAAGTCGTTACAAGGGTGTGATAGAGCGGGAGGCTGGTGACATGGAAGGAATGCAGGAATGGTCGTGGTTACGAGATAGGGTTGCACTCTGGCGTTCTCCGGGCCGAGAGGCCAAGGAAGCTTAGCGAAGCTTGTTTACCGTAGTATGGTAGGATCCCGGGAACCACAGGAGATGCTACCACTTACTTAGTGTATGTACCAACCGTGCCACATTCCACCTCAACTTCAATGTCACCTAAGCACCCGTCTAAGGATCTTGGTTGTAGGTACCGTCTGGTCTCAGATAGGGCTAAGGTTCAACGGTTCAACTGTCCAGGTTATGATAACGTCCAAGCATGTTGTTTTCCATCACTGGCAGGGACGATCTCGTCTCGTACTTGGCAAGCGATTGGAGTACAGTAAAAGCGATGCCAGATTGTGCTTGTACCATCATGGTAGTCCAATTTTAGACTATCATTTACATGATTGCTACCTAGCACTACCCACCCAATAGCTCACTGAGCAGGAACAGCCTAACTGGTCATTGACTCATCAGATCACACCTCAAACGCCGCCGTCACAACACCTTGTCCGCGAATTTCTGGTCCCTATATGGATGTAAGTGAGTTGTACTCTCCGATAGCTAGTTCCTGTTTCCACTAACCTGTAACTCGGCACTCGGGTAGCAGACCAGGATGATTTAGTCGTTCCAAGTGATGACACCGTTGGTGGAGGCCTCGCCAGCCTCAGCCCGCTTAGCCTTCTTGTCGTTCCAGGTGATGACGCCGTTAGTAGAGGCGTCGCCGGCCTCAGCACGCTTGTCGTTCCACGTGATAACACCGTTGGTAGAGGCATCACCAGCTTCAGCCCGCTTGTCATTCCAAGTGATGACACCGTTGGCTGAAGCATCGCCTGCCTCAGCACGCTTGTCATTCCAGGTAATCACACCATTGGCAGATGCGTCCCCAGCCTCGGCCCTCTTGGCCTTCTTATCATTCCAAGTGATGACGCCGTTGGCAGAGGCATCACCGGCCTCAGCCCGCTTGTCATTCCAGGTAATGACGCCGTTGGTAGAGGCATCATGGTTCTCGTGGGCGATAGGAACTGCCAGAACGGCGCTGGTGAAGAGGGTGATAAGGGTGAACTTCATGGTGGTGATTTTGAGGGGTAGAGATGGGTATGGTAGGCTGGGTGTCTGGCTTGGAATGCCTTGGTTTCGGATTGACAAGAGAAGAACAGGTGATCTCTAACAAGAGCATCAAAGAAATCGAACCACTTTGGCCGTCGGGCTACGGCCTGCTTAAATGAGCGAAGTTCTCGACTAGTAGGTCAATGGGACATCGGGTAAGTAAGGTAAGGTACTGAGTTTCTCGTCGTCTGGCTGCGCGGTCCCTGAGCAACTCGAGTGAGTCGAGGTCCTTGCCACCACCGCCTTGACTTCCTTCAACGGGGCAAACGAGGTTGGTACATCTCTCGGTTAGGGAAGGATTACATTTCCCCGCATCTTGCGTTGAGGTGGGCATGTCCGGAACGATTTCCTAAGAGATCGGACTACTCCCCCGGTGGGCCCTCCTCCTGTACATTTACATGCAGATCACCCTGGGGCCACGGATTCCCGGCGGTCAAGAGGTGATACTCCTCCTAGAAGTGTCTTCAGCCTGATATTGGTGTACATCAGTACATTTTTCAATGTATACACGTAGGACTTCCCTTAGGAGCCTGGCTCATCACGACCGTGACGCCCCATCTGACTGCAGGCACAACTACGACGACGTCGACGTGGTAGTGGGGAAAGGAAGGCCGGGCGGCGGGCGATGGGGGTGTGTTTAAGGCGTCAGAGAGCCTCCGTTTTTGAGGTCAGCCGAGAAGATAATGTTTGGACGTATAGGCATAACACGGAAATAACCCTAAGTTCGTTGAAGGTCTTTCCGGAGGATTTCTACACCTTCCTTTCTGTACTTAGTCACTGGACGTGCAGCTGAAACTCCCTCATCAAAGCTCTGGACAAGGCGACTACTACCTAGGGAGAATGACTATGTAGTGTACTCGGGTAGTAACCTTTGGTTTCAAAAGCATACATGAAAACGCCAACATTCAAGTTTTCTAGGTTGGAGCCTTGTTGCCGGTTGGCGATCGTGAATCCTACCGCTTCTAGCTCCCTAGTAGTACTAGTTCCCGTCGGTCCCCAGTTAAGCGGAAGCTAGAGTTGCTACCTTCCGGTTCTGGTCATATACTTCGTGCCATTCGTTTGCATGTCTTTGCCTTCCTGCTGAACCGGGCTACTCGCTCCCCGAGTTCGGCAGGGGAAACGGAGGAATGCTTCGAAGCGCACCTCCGGACATCCCGTGCCGTGTGCCGCTGGTTGTAACAAACATGAGAACATGGCACATTGGTGTTTAGCAAATGTGTGTTTTACCTACATAGTAGTAGGTCCCTCAGGAAGATCCACGCAGTCGCCGCCGGAACCCCGGCCGGGACATGGAGCAAATACTGCCTGGAAATCCTTACATGCAGATCACCATCTGGACTCAATGGAAGCGGCGAGTTCAGGCAAGGGCAACTCCTCATTGACCCCGACTAATGACATGCACACCGAACGCTGAGGTATGTAAAGTACAGTTACTAGTACTCCAGTGAATCAATTCCACACAGGCCGCACAGCACCCTGGCCGTTAAACCTATCCAGCATAAACCCACGAAGTGCTTCAAAGTTTCGACAAGTATGCTTCATCTCCGACTCGACGTAGTTGCGGCCGAGTCCGGGGTAGTACTTGGCCGGTACGGGGGTCATATCCCCAGAACACATGATGAACTGCCGGATATGCTCAATGCAGTGATCTTGGTGTACCTGGGGATGACCCCCGTATTTTCCCTGAGTCATCACATCCGCTGTGCCGTAGTATGACGGGTTCAACGATTTGCGAATGTGATTCTGGGTTTGCTGTTAGCATGGATTTGGCTTGTTTGGACTCAATGTCACGGTCGAGACGGGACTACAATCATGGATGGGCATAACCTACCAGGCAATGCAGCGTGTGAAACATGTCGAATCTGTACCATCTCGTCAGCAACTAATAGTTTGGAGGTGATAAAATAGTCATGTTGTCCGTATGTCACACTTACCCTGCAATGTATCCCCCTCTGTCCTTGTCCCAATACTCGTCCGAGACATATTCCTCTCCCCAAGCTTCAATGGCTTCTTCCTTGGTAATCAGGACATAGCGGCCTAAATGCCAAGAGCATAAGTATAGATGCAAGACAGATCCTTTGAGCTTCACAGGAGCTTCGACTTACCCCAAGTGAGATTATCCCAGTTGTAATCGATTTCGGGGTGTAGCGCTGGGTCACCGATGAACAGCGGAGAACCGGGATTGGCAATGAACATGTTGCCATTCTCGTCAAAGGCGGCACCACCGGTGAAGCGTTGCTGCGAGACTTGTATAAATTCCTTTGCCGGGCCTGTGGAAGTCAGCAAGCTGCCCTTGCGTGTGAAGTCTTCACATATGCCCCGTATCAACGTACCAAAATCCGTGGCATACCCAGTAGCAAACGTCCCAAGCTCCTGGTTGCTCTGCCAGAGGTCATGATCTCGGTCGACGAGCATGCCAAGGAACAGTGAGAGCGAAGCGAAGAAAGCTGCGAGAGTCCATGGAAACACAGGCTGAGAGATCACACGCCACAGCCCGCGGGGCCGCGGCTTCACATCTGCTGGTAATGGATCATCACCGTCGTCCCTAAGAGACACAGGTGCGTACTTGGTTTTCTCGAGACTGACGGTCGGGAGCATGGTGCTGAAGTTGAACTCACCACAGTTGTGGGATTAAGCTGTCCAAGTCAAGTTGTCGTTCTTGAAAGCTTTGTAAACTGGGTAATTGGGGAGCCGACAGGTCATTGCACTGTCACGGCAGACAACCTAAAGGATGACTGATAGGTCACGGGATGGCAGACAGTTGAAGACTAGTGCAGCAACATTGAATGTATAGCAGGAGTATCAGTGTAACTCAAGACGTTTGGGGGCGAGGAAGGCTAAGTGGCTAAGAGGGAGGAAGGGAGTGGTGAGGAGCGGG